AAGCGGTTTCGATTTCCCATAATACCTTTCTGTTGGCAAAGCTATTGCTATCTTAAGTACTAAGACACGTGAGACTCTGCCTCAAAAATAGCAATACAAAACAAAATAAAAAACAAAGACAGGAGGATTGGCATCCACACACATACTATCCCATCTACATGAAGGACCAAGGCTTACACACGTACCTGCAAATACCGTGTTTAATACCAGTATCAACTCTCAGATCATACATTATACGACACACAGTAATTGATCACTTAATATATTCAGACTACTACAGACTGGCAATAAGGAGCTAAAGAGGCCACTGCAGAACTCAAGAAGTTCAGAGATGCCTAACTGAAGGCAGAAGCAGAAAACTGATAGAGATGGGAAGTGGGGGATGGAGGTAGTCAGATAAGGAATCCTGCTGGAGAGGACACACCAAACATCAGAGATAAGTGAAGATGCAGAGATTAGCTGGAAAACCTGGTCTGGATGGATGGACGGATGGACGGACAGACGGACAGACGGATGGACAGACAGGTGGATGGGTTAGGGGACAGATGGATGAGTGGGTGGATGGATGGATGGATGGATGGATGGATGGATGGAGGGACAGATGGATGAGTGGGTGGATGGACGGATGGATGGATGGATGGATGGATGGATGGATGGCTGGCTGGCTATAATGTAGACTGTGTCAGCAGTGGGAGTAAGCTCAGCCGAAGCTCCTGGGACAGTTGGGAGTTCTCTTTGGGCTCCTTGATGCGGAATGGTCAGATTACAGGTGGGTGGAGCCATTGCCATCAAAGTATTTATTGGGTGTCTTCCTACTTATGGATTCCAGATAAGAGTTTTGCATCCTGTCATTTGTCTGATATGTTCAACAAGTCCTTGACCCCAGCTTTCCTGAAAAGATTTCTGCTATGTCTCTGTGCTCACGCGGCCCCAGTCTGCTAAGCTTGTAGCATGACACCTTTTGACTTTTAGAACTAGGGCTGTCAGCCTGTGCTTCACAGCTGGTGCTGGACAGGTGCTGGTGTCTGCCTGTACAGGAAGTGCAGAGTCATCCTGACTATATTTGCGCTCAAAATGGAGCCAAATGCCACTTTGTGAAATGGGCAAGGCATAGTCCGGAAGCCACTGTTTACACAACATAGAGTCACTTAAATCAGGGAACAGCCAGATCTCAACACTGTGTCCCAGAGATTCTGTTGGCTTTGGCAATCTGGACACATCTGCCCATCAAATCTGGGTTCAATGGTGCCAGGGCTTCAGTACAAGACTGTCAGATTCGGGAGAGCTCTGGCATCAGCAGTCAGGGTGTTTAAACTACAGCCTTGCGGCCAGCCGTCTTTCAGCTGGAGAGCTAGCCCCCGCCCCTGGGAAGGCACAGAACTTGAATTTTCCAGTAGCAAACAATGCAGAGAATGGCTCCCAGCGTGCACTAGAGAATGCAGCCCCTGCCTGAGCTGCAGCTGTGTCCCTAGACTGAGGGACAAGGCCAGGCTGCCCGGTTGGCTGGAGTCCCACTGTCTGAGGAGATGAATGGGACCCGGCAGGTGTAAAAGTGAGGGGAGTTGGGGGGAGGGTAAAAGGGGCCTACAATAGTCAAAGTGGCTGATATACTTTATTAAAATGTCATATGAACTACATTGCTTTGTACAACAAATGTATACTAGTCAAACAAACAAACCAAAAAACATGGAGGTGGCTCAGTCAGTAAAGTGCTTGCCCTCTAAGCATGAGGACCCGAGTTCAATCCCCAGCACCCATGTCAAAAGCTGGGCATTGCGGCACGTGTCTGCACAGCACTGAGGAGACAGGCGATCTCTGAGGCTGCAGCCAGTCCAGACTAATTGGTGATTCCCACTTTTAGTGAGAAATCCTGTCAGAAAAACAGGTTGGGTGGCACCCAAGGAATGACACCTGTGTGTGGGTTGTGTGGGTTGTGTGTGGTGTGTGTGGTGTGTGTGGTGTGTGTGGTGTGTGTGTGTGTGTGTGAGAGATATGTGGGGGACTGTGGGGGGGATGTGTGTGGGTGTGGGGTGTGTGTGAGGTATGTGTGGGTGTGTGAGGTATGTGAGGTGTGGGGTATGTGGGGGTATGTGGGTTGTGTGTGTGGTGTGTGAGGGGTGTGGGGGGTGTGAGGTGTGGAGGGCTGTGGGGTGTGTGTGGATGTGTGTGGACTGTGTGATGTGTGTGTTTGTGTGGTGTATGTGTGTGTGGTGTGTGTGTGGTGTGTGTATGGGAGTGTGTGTGTATGAATGCATGTGTGATATGTGTGTAAAGGATGGTATGGTGTGATGGTATGTGTGTAAAGGATGGTATGGTGTGATGGTATGTGTGTAAAGGTTGCCCACGCCTGTGTGACCATCTTCAGCAGAGATCTTAGCAGCACCAGGAAAGATGGACTGCTGAGAAACCCTGCCACCTCAGGGTCTGGAGAAGAGGAAGGCGTGGCTGAGGAGCCATCTTCTTCAGGACCTTAGTGTAGCCTCGCCCAGTGTTAGAAACCACTGACTAATTTACAAACGATATACAGGTGAGAAATTAAAGAATTAAGAGAAAATGTAAAAATGGCTTCCACCTAAGATGGCTTCCAATTTCCGTCTCCACTGTGGTCTGCTGAGCAGACGCTTGGCACGGAACATTTTACTTATGTGTTTCTTTTCTTTCTTTATTTCTTTCTTTCTTTCTTTTTTTTTTTTTTTTTTTTTTTTTTTTTTTTTTTTTTTTTTTTTTTTTTTTTTGAGACAGGATTTCTCTGTGTAGCCCTGACCACCCTGAAACTCGCTCTGTAGACCAGGCTGGCCTCAAACTCAGAGGCCCATCTGACTCTGCCTCCTGAGTGCTGGGATTAAAGGTGTGCACCACCACTGCCCAGCTACTTGTGTGTTTCTGAGTTTGAATGTTTTATGTACAGATAGAACCGATTTGAACATATACAGTGTTCAGACAGAGGCTCAGGGAGACCAGGCTGGCCTCAAACTCATCGTATAGTTGAAAATGATCGAGAACTTCTGACCCTCCTGCCTCCTCTGCCAGAGTGGAGCTGCTGCCTGAGGAGGTCAGAAAAGGACATCAGATCCCCAGGAAGTGAGGCTGCAGGTGTGGCTGTGAGCTACCACGTAGGTGCTGTGAATTGAACTCATGCCCTCTGCAAGAGAAGCAACTGCTCTTAAGCGGTGAGCTCTCTCCAGCCCCAACTTCAACACCAGATTGTAGCAGTCAGCAGCACAGTTGTCTTTATTTGTCTCAGTGAAGTAAACAACACTAAACAAACAAAATGCCTTGTTCGAGGGCTTTGGGCTCCTGAAGGACCCAAAGTCTCAGGCTTGGAAACTAGACCGGCTGGCTGCAGTTGCATGAGGCACCACCAGGTGGCAGTGTTGATTGAGAAAAATGAACAAACCCTGGCTGGCTGGGACAAAGAGCCCCTCACCCAGCAGCTACCACACTGAACTAAGTGCCCATGTGAGGGACCCTGAGCTGGACCAGCATTGAGAGGCTGTGCTGGCAGAGCTATGGGTGACTGGTTATATGCTACCACGGTGGTCAGTTCTTTCTGAGAGGTGAAGGTAATCTATGGATGTGGGCCTCAACTCTTCCATTAATGAAAAGGACGTGACAGCCATCTTAGTAGCCCCAGCCTGCCCCCAGGGCTTCCTTTGTCTCCAGCTGAAACTCTGTAATCAGGGTGGGAGGGGGGTCCCTGTGTCCCAGAGCTGCCCCTTTCTACCTACACAGCACGCCACATTCATGCCCAAAGCCCTGAATACCCCAGTTGGACTGACGCTCAGCACCCACACTTCAGGTAGGACATGAAGGGGCCCTTGGACCTTGGGGTGGGCTTGGCTCTCCATAGCCAGATGTTGATGACCCCGCTTAGTTTCTGCCTTTGTCTTTGGTCCCAGGTTTGGAAGTCAGAAGTCACAAAGCCTCGGGCCCAGGCCCACATCCTCTTTGCTACGTGCTGGAACGCAGCTCCAGGCCTGGGGCCTTTTTCATGACATAAGAACAGGCATTCCTATTGGACGTGGGAAGTCTTCCCCTGAGGCCTACCTTATCACAAGACTCTGCTCATCCTGCCTGACGTCATGGCTATGGCTTTGCACCTGGAGATACACATGATGGCCTAGTTAGAGAGGCGAAGGTCACTCCTAACTCTCTTGACAGAACTTTGGGGGCTAGCATGCTCATCACTCAACTTAGGTACACTCAGACAGGGGCAAGAGATGTGGGCAAGAGTGGCAGTGGACAGAAGGTGTCTCCTGTAAACTAGACTCTACTGTCACTATGACCCCCAGACCCCAGCTTACCTGACCTCCACTGCGAGAGGCAGGAAAGACCTGGCTTATTGGCCTGCAAATTGGTCACCCAGGCTAGGACCTCCCCTCAAAGGAGCAGCCGTGAAAGATGACTTCTGCCTAAACTGCAAGGATTCTGTAACCGTGCCCAAGACAGGTGCCCCCATAAAGCACAGCGGCCACCTGAGAAAGGATGCGACCTCAAAAGCAGAAAGGAAATGCTCGAACATGAAAACAGCCAGAACTTTCTCAGAGTTAGCATGAGAGCCCACTCAGGTTCAGAGTCAAAGATCAAACTGTTGTCACTGAAGAGGGCAGCCAGGAGCCTCTGTCACCACTGTGAGTCTCAGCACACAGTGGGAGAAGACCATACAAGCTGCACAGGAAACACTCCGGATACCTGGGGAGGGCTGGCGGGAAGAGAGCGTGGCCCGTGTCAGGCTTGCTTTGCTGGGTCACTGCAGTGTGGGTGTCAGCACACCTGATTTGTCCAGGTGAGGGAGCTTATTGACTCTTTGGTGTTAAAAAGAGGCACTTTAGACTAAGTCACGTGACCACCTATCACCCTTGACTGATGGCAGGCACCCCACCCCAGCTCTTCTGGACATCTGGCAGCCCGTCTTCTCTGGCCCTTCCACAGCGTAGGTTCCCGTGAGTGCCAGCAGTGGGACCTCTTCCTAGTGAGCCTAGGACTCTGAGCACCGAACTTGCTCACGCCTCTGCTAGGCTCTTTATCTTCGTCTTTTAAACTTGGAGTGTGAATAGCCCTTGGGTCCCGTATCACAGCTTGGGTCTCAGTTCTAACAATCACTTGTCAGCACAGAGACGGTCACAAAGAGGGCGTATGCAGAGGTACCTGTATCTCTGCAACAGCACAACATCAAGCTGTATCAAGCAACCTGGACTCACAACGAAATCTGAAGAAAGTTGTGGTGCTGGCTACATACATTGACCTTACTGTGTCCTCACTGTGTGGGCAAAAAAAGGAAACATTGGTCCAGAGAGACGCCTCATAAGTTAAGAGCACTGACTGCTCTTGCAGAGGCCCAAGGTTTGTACCCACATAGTGGCTCCATTTCCAGGGGATCTGATGTCTTCTTCTGTCTCTCTGTGGGCACTGGGGCACAGACTGGCTGGTGCAAAGATCAGGGTGAGAAGGATTCAGGGGGAACTTTCATTCTGTGTGTGTGTGTGTGTGTGTGTGTGTGTGTATGTGTGTGTGTAAGAGGACAACCCCAGGTGTCAGTCCCCTGACACCTCCAACCTTTGTTTGAGACAGGGTCTCTTGTCCACCTGGAACCTCATCCCATAGGCTGGGATAACTGACCAGCCATCTGTCAAGAAGCCCCCTGCCTCTGCATCCCATCTGACCCACACCAGAATAACAGATGTGTACCCCTGCTCCTGGATCACTACACAGGTTCCAAATTCAGTTCCCCCCGCTTTCTACTTGCAAGGTAAGCATTTTGTCAACTGAGCCATCTTCTCGGTCCTTGCTGTGAGCTTATTAACCAGGATATTGGCGCCTGGGCTTTGTGATCAAATATCCATCCCATAATTAGAGCTGTGCATCAAACGGAGGCAATAAGAGTGCCAGGAAGCAGTGTGGTATGCCTATCCGGGGCACTTGGCTTAAGAGAATTTGTAGAGAAAGTAGGAGCCAAGCTTGTAACCTAATTACGTGTTAAGAGAAGAAGGGCCTTGGTAAAGATGAGAAGGAAGGAAAATTGAGACGCAGAAAGCAGAGCGAGTGAGGGCCGGGGTCTAGTGTCTGACAGGCCCACCCCCAGCCAGAGACAAAAGCAAGCTGCCTTCAAGGTGGAGCACACTGGCCCCGGCAGGACAAGGTTTTCCATCCCTGGGAGACGGTGCTGATGTGTGGGGTGGCAGCTTTGACAGCATGAGTACTCAGAGCCTTGACGACAGCCTAGCCGAGGGTGGAGGCGGCAGAAATCAATTCAACACAAAAAGGTTTGCAGCCTTGGGCAATAAACTGAAAAACTGATTGAGCCAGCAGATTTTATAATCAACTTGTGGGCCATTCTGCCCAGGCACACAAAGCACATCTTCCATGTCCTGCGGGAAGTCCGTGCTGCAGTGAGGCCCCTCAGTGCCAGGCTTCTCAGGGACTTGAGTGGTGCCCTGAGCCCAGGGATGGCAGGAAGTCCCCATAGTCGGCAAGGGGTGTTGGGTGGGTGGGGCTGAGGCCCCGTCATGCTCTGCTGCAGGGTTGTCGTGGAGGAGAGGGCTATGGAAGAAACCAACCACAAAAGACAGGAAGACTGCTTGTACACAGGATGGTGGCAAAGGCTAGAGTTGTGGCCATGCAGAATGAAACTGGGGGGAAGGTAATGTGGGGACCATTATGCAGGGAGACAGAGGTACAGCCAAGGGTGTTGGGCTCAGTTCCAGTTCCCTGCGACCTTGGGTTCCACGGCAGGGGAATGGGACATGGAGACAGTGAGCACAGAGGACATCACATGGAGCGGTTTTGCTGTCACAAAGCATGTGTCATGGCAGCCAGCAACAAAGTGTCCCTCGCAGCCCACAAGCTGAGGCAGGCACAGGCATGCACTCTGTGGTCTGTCACTTCCTCACAGAAACCGTTCATCACCAGAGGACAGTGAGGCTGAGGGGCCTGGCCCCAGGCAGGGATATGCAGAGCTGACAGGAGACAGTCTTTATTGCACTGCGGGATACTGTGAGCCCAGGACACACAGTAACACCATGAGAAGACACTAGGCCTTATGCCCTGAGTGTCTGAGCTGTGCAGGATTTAAAGGCTCATGGTGTCTCCTCTGGCAAGGCCGGAGTTCCGGGTGACAGAGAGAATGTTCACCTGGCTGTGTTGTCCTCTCTATAACACCCGTAGCTCCCACCTTACAACATGGAAGCCACCCTCTGCTCTGGAACCTCCATCTTGGTGCAGGTAGTATCCTGAGCCCAGAGCCACTGTCCCTTCCACTCATGTCTTAGTTTGCCAATCCTCAGGGTATGGGCGGAGTGCAGGACTCTGGGGAGCAAAGCTCGAGTTTCGGGGTCCCCCCTAGGGTAGTGGTGGTTACCTTGTGTTGGGGTCATAACCTTGTCTCATCACTATCAGGAGTGATTAGCAATGTTTACGGTCCTGCTGCCACCAGGCGTCAAGTCAGAAGGCAGCTAGCTGCCATTGCCTTCCTTACACAGGGGACAGCTTGCTTGAGCGGCCGAGCGCCTGTCTCTTTGTGGTCAAGAGAACAAATTAAGATGACAACTAGTGAATGCCAACAGTGACAAATACGTCCCAGGAGGTCAAAGCCGGCCTCACGGACACCCAGAGCTCTCAGAAGTTATTAAGGAGCTAAATGCTCTACCCAGGAAGTCATGGGCCTAATGGAGCTGTGACTAAAGGTACAAACTGCACCTAACCACAATGGAAAGGGACAAAGAGGAGGAAACAGGGAGGGGGATGCAGGGGAGCAGGCAAGGGGAAGGGAGGGGAGGGGAAGGGAAAGGAAGGAAAGAGAGCAGTAAGCATCAGGCATTTCTGTGCCATCATCCCTGGGGCATTGCTATACTAGGGCACAGCTACAGACAGTATCTGCAGGAGTGGTCCCTGCATGGGTGCAGAGTGGACCAACGACTGCAGTCAGCTGCTGCATGGGTGCAGAGTGAAGCAACTACTGCAGTCAGCTGCTGCATGGGTGCAGAGTGCTAACTGACATTGGTTGGAAGGTTAGACACTCTTCTGGAAATCCCTGGACAAAATGTGCCCACGGACTCCACAATAGCAATCCCCCTGCCGTGGTGAGAGCAGTGGGTACAACAAGGGATGGTTGGTCTTGCAGGATGCTGCTGATCCTCCCAAGGGGGCCCAGGGAGACCTGCAGAACGTCACAGAAAAATGAAAGGCAAAGAGACAGAGAGACAGCTGCGGCCTCCTGTAAACAGTCTGATTTCCCAATGCGAACCAGATTGCAGCCCAGGACCTCAGGTAAACATGTGCGTCAGTGCCCCCAGGCCCCTGCCGCCCAGGAGGCCCAGGGTCTGCATGGCCCAACTCTGGGACGCATCACCGTCACCGCCCAGACGGTTCCTAATTAGGTAAAATTAGGCCTTGCATTCCTCCAAAATCCCCAAGATCTCTGCAATTTCAGGTCTTCCCCAAAGGAAAACATCGGGTAATTAAACAGCATGAGCAAGAATGGTATAGAATGTTCTCTGGCTGAGGAAGCAGCTCTGGTTTCCCACCCACCTTGGCTGGACAGAGGATCTGCTGGGAGGTGGATTAACCATGGCCTTGTTCTCAGGGCCTGGGTGGCCGTGGGACTTGGGGAAGGGGGTAACTAGACCTGGTCTTGGATCTCTGCTGGTGGGGTGCGGGGCTGTTAGGCCCCCTTGGCCTGTGTCGTGCCTACAGGTAGCACCAAGGACAGTGTTTCCAACAAGGAATTGTTGAGATCAAGCCGTGTCCCAATATAAATGACTCCATATTGCATAAAACTGCAGTTTTTCGGGTTGTGTGTACTCCATTTTATGAGTAGTCTTTGACTTTATTCTGAGAATGAAGGATGACTGCCTGGTGGACACATGAGCAGCACCATCCGTCCAACACCACACTGATAAATAACTTACTCTGGGAGTGGAAAGGGTACACCCTAGTTTTATCAGAGTTAAGTGAAAACACGGGGGCACATGGGTAGATTCTAATCAAGAATTCACCAGACAAACCAGACCAAGGAAAGAGTGGAAATCCTTCACCTGGACTCTGTAAAGAGGTATTGACTTTGCATAGGGACGGCAATCACCCTCCCCATCCCCACACACCCCAACCTGTCATCTGATCACTTGGCTCAGTGATTGAGAGTACTTGCTGCTCCTCCAGAGGCTGAGTTTGGTTCCCAGCACCTATGTTGGATGGCTCACATCTAACCCTTACATGAGATCCAACTCCAGGAGATCCAGCACTCTCTTCTGGCTTCTCCAGACACCAGGAACACATGTGCACATGTGTGTGTATACACAAAAAAGTTTTTAAATGCTTGCTGCTGAGCCCTTTACAGACAAAGCCTGCTGAACAAGGCTCAGGCCCGCACAGTGACGTCCTCTGGCTCGGAATGGAGTTTAAGGACAGGGTCTTCATCTCTGTGATACTCCACCCTCCGTACCTCAGCTTCTGTGCTTTACCTGAGAGGGCTTTTGCTTCATCCAAGGTGTTGCTTTGGTTTTGTTGGTTTGTTTGTTCGGGCCTTGGCTGAAACTGTCTATGTAGAACAGACCAGCTCTAATTCACAGAGATCGATCTGTGTCTGCCTCCTGAGGGGGGCGTGTAAGGGTGTGGGCCAGCACTCCAGGCCTCACTCTGCATGTGGGGATGTTGTCTCTAGACCCTCTGGGCCCTAGACATTCTGCCCCATAAAAACAGGTGCTCAGCTTCGCACACTGTGGGGAGTGGGGTAGGGGGAAAGTGTGAGAGCAGAACAGGTTCAGGACTCACAAGGACAAAGCGTTCGATCAAAGTCAAGTGTGTCATGAATCCATGGTGTTTCTGGTGAGGCCGGCACATGTTCTTTTCTTTTAATTTACACGTGTGTGGTGTGTTTGCATGGTTTCAGGGGTGGGTAGGGTGTGTGTGGAGGGTGTGGTATGTCTCATGTGCGGGTATGTGGTGTGTATGTGTGGTGTGACACATGACACATGTGGAAGTCAAAAGACGCCTTAGCACAGTTGGCTTCCCCTTGCCTTCCTGTGAGTCCTGGGATAACTCAGGGCTTCAGGCTTTCTTACAGCAAGTTCCTTAACCTACTTAGCCATCTCTTCACCCTAGCGATTTTCTCATCCTTAATAAGTGGTAAAATTATATGTACACAGAAGAATTGTTTTAGAATAATTTTATTTATGTAAATTTTTATGTTACATTAATTACCAGCAAATGTTTGATATGCATACCTATTTTTTCCCGACAGCAGGTCGAAGGTGAGCTTCTCGGGGGTGGGATATGAATACACATCTCTCTGTATCCTGTGCATCTGGGGTTGTGGTAGGATTTCTCATATTAAAGGAGAGTTGATTGTAGAGAAATGTTATGCTTATTCTAGAGTACCCCCTGCCTGTGGGCCACCTGTTGGGGACAATCTCAGTCTTTGGGGACAATCTAATCCACTCAAATGGGATAAAGGTGGCCACTATGGCACTCCGTGGTCTCCTCTCTCAGATAAGAGGGGTACAAACTGTGGGCACGAGTCAACATCCCCTCCACTTCTTCTCCAGAACATTGCCAGGCTGTGCTCATGACTTAAGCCCACAGTTCTCCGCACATAGTCCTGTGTGCGCTCACGTGTCAGATGACGTGGTCTCCATGTGACACAAAGACAAGTCAGAGGTGGACACTGCTGTCCTTGCTGTGAGGACTGATCTGACGCCATGTTGGGGTATACTCACACACAGGATAGATGTCTCGTTGCTGCCATTATAACGCTTTTGAGGTGAGCAGTATGGTTTCAGGGAGAGGTGGGCGTGGCCTTGCTGTTAGGGGTGGAAAGCCATGGGGCCTACTGGCTTGATAAGGGGTATGGGGGTCAATACTCAACTGGTACCAGGGACTAAGGACAGTACACCTATGTGTTCCTGACGCCTTCACTGACTTGCCCAGCTTCCAACATTGTGAGTGTGGAGGTTGGAGGCTTTGTGTCAGGGGGGCATTAACGTGTTCTCTGTTGAAGGAGGCTATCACAGCAATTGGCAGAGACAAGGGGACCACACGGCAAGAAAGGCTGGGTGGTCGCTCAGAGCACAGCAGATTTTCGTTGTTGGCTTCAGGAAGACCATCTCCTAGGGAGGGGATGTCAGCCGGAAGGTAACCCTGTGACTTTCGTCATTTGACTTTACCTTTGCCTCTCTGACAAGTCATCCCATTCCCTGAGGCCTCGGTGCTAACTCACAAACACGCACGTACAAACAGGCACACACGTCAGCAATGAGTGAGTGACACCAGGTTTCTGGTTTGCGGCTATGTGAGACCTAAGAGGCCTGCACGTAACTGCCCTTATCAAATCTCGCTGACACATCCTGCTGGGAGGCCGCTCCCAACACAGGCTTTCGGGCTACCAGGCAGGGAAAGAGGTGAGGGTTGAGAAGATAGTCCCTTATCAACTGTGTGTGCCCAGCTCTCAGGACAGCTTTGAGGCTGGCCTCATCCCCTGGGCCCTTCCCTTCCCGTTGAAGGAAATCGAGGCTCAGGGCCCGGAAGTGGCTCAGCCAGATCACAAGCAGGCATGCTGACCATGCTGGAGGAGGCTGGCTCCCTGGGGAGTCCTGATTGTACCACATGTCAAGCGTGAGCATCAGCAGATGCTGGTCCAACACCCTCCTCCAGAGCCAGGAACGGCTCTCCTCTGGCGTGGGAAAAGTACACGGGGTCAGGGTCACTCCTCATGGCTCTTCTGTGGGAATCCGCTCACAGTGGGGCCTGCCGGTGGGCCCTACACACACAGGTCTGCCCTCCTATGTAAGAAAGTCACTAGACTCTTTTCCTGCCCTGGCCTTCAGGTGCCTGCTTGTCTCACCCCCAGGTGTCCCACAGTGGGGTGATCTGCTTCCCCCAAGCACTCGGACCTAGCTGCACCTACCCTCTAGAGCTGTGGTTCTCAATCTGTGGGTCACAATGCCCCAAATCATTGGAAAACACAGATAATCGCAATCCAGAAGAGTATCAAAATTACAGTTATGAAGGAGCAATGAAAGTAATTTATGGTTGGGGATCACCCCAACATGAGGAACTGCATTAAGGGTCACAGCGTTAGGAAGGTTGAGGACCACTGCTCTGGAGGGATACAAGATGGCCTTCACAAGAGATAGTGAGCTCTTCTTGGGGGCCAAGGCCGGGTTCTGTGGGGTGTGGGCAGCAAGCACACTTTGCCTCCATCTTGCTAGGAAAACAGCATTCCTGTGGAATGGAAGAAAGGAGAAAGGCCGTAAAGACGGTCCCAGGGCCATGTGTGTCACACTGGTGTCTTCTAGAGCCATGAGTTAACTGGAAGATGGGAGCTTGCACCGCAGAGGCAGTGACTGCAGCGGAGTGACAATCAAGGGACAGAGCAGAACCTGTGAGGTCATCTTCAGAGCCACATGCTCCTAGAGCCATCAGAGGTAGGCTTGCAGCTCACCCCTGAGTCCCGCCATGCCAGCTCCCCTGAAACTGTACCACCAAATTGTTATATTGTTAAAGAAATTACAGGGAACTATTAATTCTTTGTATATTTTTAAATGGTATTTAAAATATTCATTTTATCACATTACTATGGGTTATAATATATAATATAAATAATATAGTATAGTTATTATGGGGTGGGGGAAGGACAGTCACATGCCTCGGCACATGGAGAGGTCAGAGAATGACTCGCAAAAGTCAGTTCTCACCTTCCACTGTGTGGGTCCAGGGAACCAAACTCAGCTTGTTGGGCCTAGCATCAGTGCCTTTACCTGCTGAGTCAGTTCACCAGCCCTGAAGATGGGATTTTTAAAAGAGGGACTTTTGCAATGATTTCTTCTTGAAAGACAGCTTAGAGTGAGGGAGTGAAAGAGGGAGGAGGGAAGGAGAAGAGAAGGAAAAAGAAGGGAAGAAAGGAGAGGAGGGGAGGGAAGGGGAGGGGAGGGGAGGGGAGGGAAGGGAAGGGAAGGAAGATCTACATTGGGAGAGGCACACACATTCTTCCACCGGTGCAGGGCTGAGCCCATCTTGGGGACTGTGGTCCCAGCACTGACTCATTCGGAGCAGGCAGGAGATAGCACAGAAAGGAATGAAAATGGGGTAGCAGGGTGTGGGTCTAACAGGCCAAAGGATCTTGTTTTCTCTCGCAGGGTGCTGGAGAGATCAGCTGTGTAAGAGACGGAGGTGGAGTGGTGGTGCATGCATGCAGTCCCAGCACTGGAGAGGCAGGGGAAGGAAGGCTAAGGTTCTAGTCTGCCTGGGAGCCACAGTGAGACCATGCCTAAGGAAAGAACAATGGTTCAACTTTGCAGTCATCTACTTCTAGAACGCAGACCGATTGACTCACAGCTTCTGTGAGGCACAGTTCACACATGGCGCTGTCAGTGAATCTGGATGCAGTCGCAAAGCTGGGCAGCATCGCCACAGTCCATTCCTAAAGGAACACAGCCATGAGCAGCCACTCTGCCTCCCTACCATCACCCCAAGGCTACAAGCCGCTAATCCCCTTTCTCTTTCTCCCTTTGACCATGATAGAAATTGAGTAACGACCAGGGTCTATCCATGGAATAGGAGCTAGCTTGCTGGAGCCCATTCCCTATGGTGGGATACCATGCTCAGCCTTAATGCAGAGGGGAGGGTCCCTGCCCCAATTTAATGTGCCAGACTTCGTTGACTCCCCATCAGAGCCCTTACCCATTGGGAGGAGTGGGTGGGAGGTGGGTTGGGGAGGGAGATGAGGGAAGGCAGGAAGAGGGGTGCGAGGGAGAACTGTGGTTGGAATGGAAAATGAAATTCTAAAAAATTAATTAATTAAAAAATCGAATACTCGCGGACTCACCTGGGACGTGGTCTTTTGTGGCTGGTCTCTTTTACCCTAGATCCATGCAGGTCTCATACTTTTTTACAGCCGAATACAATTCCATCACACGGATAAACCACCATGAGTTAACCCATGTATACATGGAGGGGCATTCATTGTTTCCACTGTGGGTCTTCTGTAAATGTGACCGCTATGAACCTATGTGTGCAAAACTTTTACAATAATTTTTACATTTATTACTTATGGAGGAGGCCGTGCGTGTACCATGGTGTGTGAGTGGAGGTCATAGGTCAACCCGTGAGGATGCTGTCCTTAACCCAGTGTGGGTCCCAGGGATTGAGCTCACCTTCTCAGGTTGGTGGCGAACTTCTTTACCTGCCAGTCTATCTCACTGGCCCATGTGTGAGCCAGATATTACGTGGACACATGCTCTCCTCTCCGGATGGCGTGCTCAGGTGCAGCTGTTGAAACAGGTGGGAAGTCTGTGTGTACTCTGTGTGGAGACACAGCAAAGTCATTTGCCAGAGCCGCACTGCCATCTAAAAGACCATTCAACTTACAGGGTCCGAGTCTCCCCACCACACCCTTGCCTTCTCCTGTTGTCCACGAAACTTCAGTGCTCTCAGAAAGATTTAAATTATTGTATGTGTTTGTTTGAGACAGAGAGAGAGAGGGAGGGAGAGAGACAGAGAGAATGTTGGTGTCTGTGTGGAGAGGACAACCTGCTGGAGACTATTCTCCCCTCCTAGTATCCGGGTCCAGGGTCTGAACTCAGGTCAACAGGCCTGGTGGCAAGTGTCTTGACATGCTAAGCCATCCCACCAGCCCCTCTCTCAGTGAGGCTTGGATCTGCACTCTGCACTGCCCACTGGTGAACAAGGTGAGGCCCTTGTCTAACGCTAGCTATCTGAAACATGTCCTTTGGAACCTGTCTGCTCTGATAGTGCCATCGTTTCTTTAGACCGAGTTTGTCATCTTCAGTGTCGGCCTTGCACGCTACCCATAATTCATTTCTGCCCGCAGCTTTTTGATGACCCTTGCAGAATTTCCACATGGGCAGGCAGGCAGCCTGTCTTCCATCTTCCTCTGCAATCTGTCGCCTTTCTTGTTTCTCATGCCTCACAGGCCAGACCCTTCCTTGAAGGCTGGCAGACAGGGCCGGGGAACCACATTCCTGCCTTGTTCCTTATCTCTGAGGGAAGCATTTAATCTCCCAGAACTTGCTACAAAGTCCACCGCATATTTTTCATAGATGCCTTTTTTATCAGATGGAGAAAATGCCTTTGAACTCCCAGCTGCTTGAGAGTTTTATGCTGAATAGATTTTTGGGTTTTTTTCAAGTGTTTTTCTGATATAGATGACTATAATCCCGTGGGAATTTTCGTTTGTTAATATGGTGAATCTGGTCTGTTTATATGGGGAATTTGCTGACTTCAAATACCCGGATATTCTTTGCTCCTAGTAAAGGCTCTGTGCCTCCACCACAGCTAATCCTTTGTATATGTTACTGGATCTGACATGCCAGGTTATTCCAGAAGTGTTCATGAGAAATGCCGGACTCCAGGCCCCTTGATGCTCCCATCTTATTTTTGATGCCAGTGGGAAGCCACAGCAGCCTGGGGGTTGGGCAGGGAGCAGGGAGCCACTATGGCTTCCTTGCTGAAGGCTGGCGGGTTCATCAGTCTCAAACCACCACAGCAGCGTGCGGCTGTGTCAGACACCATTCGCTACAGGTGTAACTTCCTGAGCAGGCCGGGCCGGCCCACTCAATCAGTCACTTTGCATAGAGTTTTGGTCCTTTCTGTGGGTCAGGGACTTTATCATAGAATTCCCTTCTGGTCTTAAACTAGTTCTTTAAAAAGATTAATTTTTAGTTTTTAATGTTGTGTATGTGTTTGTGTGGCGCATTGTGTGTAGACGTGTGAAGGTGCCCAGGGAGTCCAGGATCCCCTAGAGCTGGAATTACAGGTGGTTGTGAGCAGCCTGATGTGAGTTCTGAGAACCAAACTTGGGTCCTCTGCAAGAGCAGGAAACATACTTAAGCATGGGACCCTCTCGCCACCACCTCAGTGTTTCCTGCTCTTTTTATATAGAATCTATAGAACCAAAATCCAAACTGAAAAATAAAAGCCCTGCGGTTCTGAAGGAATGTCCAGGGAAAGGTAAGGGGCCCCTGAGGTGGGGTAGGGGAGGATGCAACAGAATACCAGTGAACATGCAAGAGAATTGACTACCAAAACATAGTCACTTCTCCACTGACCATCGCAATAAAGAAGGTACATGATTGCCAGGCATGGTGGCGTACACACGTGGAATCCCAGCAGGAGGGAAGCAGAGGCAGAAGGGTCAGGAGTTTAAAGCCATCCTCAGTTACATAGCAATTTCAGGACTAGCCTGGGCTACACGAGACCCTGTCCAAAACAAAACATAAATAAAATGTTTCAAGAGAAGAGAAAGTGTTTCCAGCAATTATAACAACAAAACTATGAATTCCTATCCTTTCTAGGTTGTTTTTATGTGTACGAATGTGTGCCTGCATGTATGTCTGTGCACCGTGAGGCCAGAAGAGGATGTTAGATCCTCTGAAACTGGAGTTACATGTGGTTGTGAGTCACCATGTGGGTGCTGGGAATTGAACCTGTGTCTTCTGGAAGAGCAATCAGTGCTCTTAACCTCTCCAGCCTCCTGACGTTCTACTTTTTCTTTCTTTTTTAAAATAAGATTTATGTATTTATTATGTATTCAGTGTTCTGCCTCCATGTATGCCTGCAGGCCAGAAGAGGGCGACAGATCTCATTACAGATGGTTGTGAACCACCATCTGGTTGCTGGAAATTGAACCCAGGACCTCTGGAAGAGCAGCCAGTTCTCTTAACCACTGAGCCATCTCTCCAGCCCTCTGACTCTCTACTTTTAAGACCCAAATTAGTTACACAAATCAACAGGCAACCGAAACTGGGCAGGAAAGAACAGGTGATTCCCATGGGATTTGGGTTCTGTGGAGACTCTTGGCATTTTCTCACTAAATTAATATCATTAATATCATCAGTCATGGTGGTTGATTGGCCAGTAGCCAGGCAGGAAGTATAGGTAGGGTGACCAGACTAGGAGAATTCTGGGAAGAGGAAAAGTAAAGGCACAGTTGTCATTCAGAAGCAAAGGAAGCAAGATGAGAATGCCTTACTGAGAATAGATATTAAGCCACATGGCTAAACACAGATAAGAATTATGGGTTAATTTAAGCTGAAAGAGCCAATTAGTAATAAGCCTGAGCAATAGTCCAAACAGTTAATAATTAATATAAACCTCTGTGTGTCTATTTGGGACAGAATGACTGCTGGATCGGGTGGGACAGAAACTTCCGTCTACAAGAGACCCTGTCTGAAAAGTCAAGGTGGACGGCTCCCGGGGAATGACCCTCGAGGTTGACCTCTGCCTCCACCTGCCTGTTCACACACAAAACACGAATAAAATAAGCAAAAGCTGGCCTTGACCTAAGCTGCATAATTCTGACAGCTACCAAGCCACACTGGATGAAAATACACACAGGAGCGAATGTGCACATCCTGGGCCATGCCCCGGTATCACGGATAGGGGCTGGAGAGATGACTCTGTGGGTAAAGCACTTTCTTCACAGGCAAGAGGATGCACCTGTGGTCCCAGGGCTGCCCAGAACAAGCTGACTAGCTAGACTTGCTAAACCAGTGAGCTCCGGGTTCAATGAGAGACTTTAGCTCAGTAAAGAGAGTAGAGGGTGATTGATGAAGACATCTAATCCACATCTCTGGCCTCCATGTGCATGTGTGCACTCCCTCTACACACATACCCCCATATACACAAACATGCATACACACATACAATGAGAGACAGACTGGTTAAAAAAGCACGAAAAAGGAAGCTATCAACGGGGAAAAGAAGTTGCAAACACATACCTAATAAAGGCTTTAATTCTAAAATAACACTCTCAAAACTACATAGTTTAAAACCAGGCATGGTGATAAACAATGTAATCTTAGAACTTGGTAGGCTGAGGCAGGATGATTATTGTGAATCTGAGGGCAGCCTGGACTACATAGGGAGATACTAGCTCAGAGAAAAACCAAACTACACACAAAATACTACATTGTGCAGAGGCAGATGAACCAGTTCAAGCAGATACCAGGCCCTGAAGAGACAGGGTGTAAACGAGACGTTTCAAAGGCAAATGAACTAGCAGAGTGAGCAGCCTGCACTGCCTTGCAAGGAACACAAGTCCATCAGCAAGACGGATGGCAGTTCCACACGGCGCTGTGTAAGGAGCCAGAAGAACGAGGTGTCCCCCACTCTGCCCGTGGGAAGGTGGAATAGCACATCATCTCTGGAAAATTGTTTGACAGTTTCTCAAAAAACTAAACATACACTGACCATACGGCCCAACAGCCCCAGTTCTGGGCGCCCAGCCCAGAGGCGAGAACATGTGTGTTCGCACGCAGCCCGCACACAATTGCACCTACACTCTTTGATGTATAACCCTAACTGGAAATAATTAAAGTGTCCTCGCTGGGAGGGGGGGTAGTGAGCTTGTGGGTCTGTGGTGGGAAGCACAACCGTCCACTCAGGGGCAGCCAGGCTCTCAGGACATCGCACAGTGAAAGTCCCCTCCTATATCACGTTCAAAGTGACAAGATTGTGGCCCCTGGAAACGGACAAGAGGGCTTGAGTGCTTCATGGGAGATGGGAGTGAGGTGTGCACAGAAGTCTGTCTGTGTCACTATGACAACTGCAGGGCTCTGCTTGCTGTGAGCTGGGTACCCCATGACAAGAAAGTCAAAAGGGGACACTGTGTGGCAGCGTGGGGGGACTCCAAGC